TAAAGATAAAACAATTACCGGGGACGTGATTAAGAGATACGGAGGACACTTGTTACGTCTTAAGATGACTCTGTCTTGCTCCTTTGACGGGCACTTTTCCGTGATTTTAGGTAAGTCTTATTTACTTCATTCCCCGATTTCCTGGGGCGGGATTCGGCCTCATTAGTTAATTTTAGTAAGGAATGGGGCTTTATGTAATAAAATATCATTAGTTAAATTGAAAAAGTACTGATATACAACGGTATTTTGTATTACTTTTCATTGAGTATTCTGTTTTTCCAAATTCTTATTTTAATAACATTAGTTTCACAATTTATGTCACTGTACGTTTAGCTTCTAATGAATAAACTGCTGTGAAATAAACCTGCATAGATTTTTATACCTTCTTGTCATAATAAACGAGCTTAATAAATATTGCTTTTAAACGTCTTTCACCGTATAACTTCGTTAAAATGCGTCGCTTAACTCATTAAACGCGGACAAGGATAACTTATTTCTTATATATAATAATTATGCCAAGAAAGGGTAATTAAATATTTTTTATAAAGCATCGTTGTGTGTAGCAAGACTTTTATTATTTCGATTTTATATTTCCGTGTTTCTAAAAACATTAGAGAGTCACAGATTATATTCTCATTTAAATGTTGAAATTTTACGTTAAGGTACTTTTGCTTCCAGCAAAATAGATATTTGAATTGTAAATTAATTACTGATTACGTTTTCCCGCGAGTTCGCTTGCAGTTCGTACCTACTTATCGAATCGATTTGGGCGTGAGCCTATAAAACTAATTACGTATCGGAGCGATCTTCTTCCTCGCTTTCTTACGTGCTTTTCGTATTTCCATATAAGTTGAGCTATAAACGAGCCAATCTATTCACGTCTACACATCAGGGGTTCACATTTGCATATAGAGCAGAAATTTATTAAATCTACAGCCAATATCCAGCTTTTAGACATTCAACTTTTACTCATTCGCTTCATCGCTGGAATTTTATTGTACTGCAAAATGAAAATAAATCCTTTTATACATATATATATATATATAATATATATATATAAATTATATATATATATCTTGTGGTATTACGTATTTATAATTATTTTCCATATTATTTTTGTTTTTAGTTGATACTAGTTTAAATTAGCCTAACGTATTTGTAAATATTTTGAAATGTAACTAATAAATAAGCAAGATATCAATTTTGAAAACTGAACTATCAACAGCTTTAAAGCCCACGTCTAAATTCGTTAATTGACAGATTACTCGTAATGGAATTTGTGATGGATAACCGAGCTTTGTTTTGAGGTTTATTGTTGTTTTAGAAATCGCTCGAAATATATTTGACAAACGATGACATTTAAAATTAGTTTTCCCTGCCTATGGCTAACATTCGTATTTTTGACTAGTAAATTTGATTTATTTTTTTATTTTTACAACATATATAATCTTTATTTCCCGTTTCTTTTATATGGTTCCTCATGGTGCGGATAAAGGGTAGTATATTTTACGCCTCTACCACGGCATGGAGCCAAGTCTGTGCTATCGGCTTGTCGCTCATTTAGCACCACCCGGGGGACACGTGTAGGGTGGGCCTAGGAATAGGTGGTTAAAGCCTACGGACGCGAGCGACTTATCCCCCTAGGATCCCGGGAAATAGAGTAAATGGGGCCCTGCACTCTATTGTGAAGAGTCAAAATGTGTCGAAAAAGGCACGTATGGCAATTCACAATGCTGTGTTGCTCCCTACTTTAACGTATGGTAGTGAAAGTTGGGTGTGGCAGAAGATGCACGAGAGTGGAATGAACGCAGTAGAAATGCGGTCGTTAAGGAGTATGTTAGGGCTGAATCTTAATGACAGGGTAAGAAATTGTGTAATAAGAGAAGAGTGTGGTTTGCAAGATGATGTTGTGACCAGGATTAAGAAAGGAATGCTTCGGTGGTTTGGTCATGTGGAAAGAATGAATGAGGAAAGAGTGACAAAGAAAATTTATGTGGCAGAAGTGAATGGCAGAGTCGGAAAGGGACGTCCTAGGCGAAAATTTATCGACCAAATTGGCGATTTATAGAAAACGGGCCAAATTAGGAGTACCCTTAACCGACGAGCATGTATTCGGAGGTGTATGGATGTGAAGGAGGCGAGAGAGGTGTGTCAGAATCGTGCCAAATGGAAGTCTGTAGTCTCTGCCTACCCCTCTGGGTGACAGGCGTGAGTGTTTATGTTATTATGTTATGTTATATAATCTTTATTTATTTTTGATTTATTAGGAATTATGTTATCATTGTTATTATAAGCAATGGTTTGTTAGGGATTAATTTCAGTAGGTAATTCATCTTTTTCTTTTTCTTCATCGGTCCGTAATAATCTATTGCTGAACGTGGGCCTTTCCCGTTGCAGTAGAATGAATCACGTATTTAATTGCATAATTTGATAATTATAAATTTGAAACAGCTAAGAAAAATCTTGGCATAATAAAATTAGGCAGCTGAAGCAAATATCAAGGCACTAAAATGTCTCACAAACACATATGGCTTTCAAAAAAATAATTCAACTACTTCTTTGTTATCAAAATTTACCGATGAAATTAATACTTATTTAGACAACAAACAACACATAACTCTTTTATTTATTGACTACAGTAAAGCATTTGATACTCTGAAACACGATTTATTAATACAAAAACTGGAAAATACAGGCATACGCGGGCCTTTACTCAGGTGGTGTGAAAATTACCTCAAAAATAGAAAATACCGGGTGAGAATTGAAAATGATTACAGTGATGAAATACATGTAACTACTGGAACAGCTCAGGGATCGGTTATTGGCCCTTTACACTATCTGGCCTTTGTAAATGACATGGGGAATGTGATTAAACATAGTTCAGTGTATCAATATGCAGACGATACTTGCCTAATAATAGCCAATAAGGACATAGCAAAAGCAGAAAAAATGTTACAACATGACTTTACTAAACTCTCTATGTGGTCACATCACGCGGGACTCGTATTATATTCTGGTAAAACTAAAATTATACATGTACGCTCGATGTACTCTAACAAATACGAAAGACCAATAAAAATACTAGCACACAGCCACGACTGCCTTCATAATTCGTCTAAATTAAATTCTAACTGTAATTGTAATCCTCTAGAACAAGTTAACACTTATAAATACCTAGGTCTGATTGTGGATGAAAGATTCAATTGGGGTAAACACGTTGAGCATGTATGTAACAAGCTACGGGCTATGCTAGCAAAGTTTGCAATACTAAAATACAAAGTGCCATTTCCCATTCTTATAAATCTGTATAACGCTCTTGCTGAGTCTCTTATTTCTTATGGCATTACAAGTTATGGAAAAACATTTAAAACTTACTTAGATAAAATATATAACCTACAAATCAGAATATTGAAAATAATTATACCTAAGAAAGTAAAAACAAAAATATACAGTGAAAACAATATTAATGGAATATTTAAATTTTGCACAGTATTCCCTATACACACGAAATTTCAGATGTTAATACTAATAGAACAATTTCACAATAAAAAAGTGCAAGTTAAAACTAACCATAAAACTCTTACAAGAAAAGTTATACAAAATAAACTCGTAACACCTAAAATATATAACTACTATGGTAAACGTACAAATAGATATTTAATTCCTACTTTAATGAACCAAATACCCCCCACGATACTCTCAGATATCAATGAAGATAACTACAAAAACAAATTCAAAAAATGTTTCTATGAACAGCTACAAATGGAGTAAATAAATATTAAATACAAAATTATATAATATACTTATAAAATCATCAATTAATTGTTCTAATTTTTATAAATATATGTACATATATCTCTTATATTTATAGATTAAATATGTATACTTGCAACTAAAATAAAAAAAAATCAAAAATGAAAAACTATAAATAATAATAAAAAAAATATCAACTCACAGTTTTTGCACCAACCTGTATACTGCTTCTGCAACTAGATAATCCGAGCGCCCGATAAGAACGATCTAATTGTCACGCTCACACTCGTGGGCTCACAGAAACCGGTTTTTCTGTCAATACGGCCCGTCCAGAACGCCGGTGATTTGCAATTACGGTGATTTGAAATTTATCACTTAAAAATATGTACGTATTTACTTAATATTATTATTACTGTTTATAAGCAGCCATCAATTAGATGATTGTATTAATAGTTTGTATAATGTATGTGATTGTACTATACCTTTAATTGTGTGAGACTGTAACTTGCGGACAAACCTCACGGTTTTTGCAAGTTAATTACATTTAACTCATGTATTTACTATAATGATATAAATAAATTAAAAAAAATTGTATGTATACAAAAATTCTTTCATACTTCAAGTTTTTCGAGCATAAAAAGCATTTCACCTATGCTGCATTCATTTTAAAATATCATGTACTTTTGGTGCCTGTGAACGGAGAACATAAAGCTAGCAGGAATGGGTTGAGTGCTGTTGCATTTTAATTAATTCTCTTTTCTATCACACGATGTGGTGTTATCAGCCCCCCGCAGGCGTCGTGGACAAACAAATAGCTGTTGCGCGCCGGCACGTAACAATTTTGGTACGGTCGCTTTGTAAATTTTTCCTCGGCTACGGATCGGCTATTGATCCTTGCTTACAATATTCGTTCCCGTATGCCATTTTATTACGAATACATCTATCCTTTAAGTAGCATTTACTTACCTTAATAAAGTTCGGAACTTGAAACATACTCAGTGGTTGTACATGACTCCATCCGTGCCGTGATAGCTCAGGGATTAAGCTCTCGCTGTAAATTTAACAGTACGGGAGCATCCCGAGTTTGAACCCCGCCGACACCATTGAAATTATTAATTAGAATTTTAAGTGCTGATTAATACATGCTTAGCAGTGAAAGTAAAATTCGTGAGGAAAGTTGCATGCGTACACAATGCACACATCAAACGTTTTGTTTTCAATACCTTAAAACTTACAATCCTTTACAGGCTTTGGACGGACAGAACATTTACAACGGATGCTGCACATTGCGCATCGACTACTCCAAGATGACCTGTCTGAACGTGAAGTACAACAACGACAAGTCCAGGGATTACACGAACCCCACGCTGCCATCTGGCGACGGTGACGCGCATCAGCTGTTGACCAGTGAGTTGACGCCACAGCGGGCTCGACTCGCGCTGGCCCTCGCATCCAGAATGAGTTAGTTCTCAACTAATCCCGAAGCCTGGAAGCTTCCTACACCAATCTAAGTTTCCATTACACTCCTATTAGTTTGACACATTGTGGTGGTCTTTCACAAAATTTTACTTACGTTATTTATCCTTGTAGTTTGAGTTCGGAAGGTTTATACTAAAACTCTCGTAGTTTTCTTTCAGTTCAACGATATTTCCCCTTTATTGTAAGATAATGTATTTTATATTATTTTTATTGTATTTTTATTACCCATAGAAGTTGATATTAAAAACAAGAGCTGAACCCGTTAAGGTACGTAATAAAATAAATCTCCAGCGTAAAATCACACAAGAGTACATTATTCCTGAACTATATGTCTGCGTTTGTAACTTTGCGTTGGCTCTTTTCTTGTTTATTATTCATAATCAATTGTAAATGTTTCCGCAGTGACTAATAACTTTTCGTAAATCCTTACTGCACCCTAGAGGATTGTAATATATGAGGATTATTCTGACAATGCCTATTTGTTGCTTGTATTACGTAATACTGCTTTAATATTTCAGTTGAACAAAACAACTTACATCGAGTAGGTTTTGATGTGGTTTAGTATTGATCCATGTTAACCTTAAGATAATGTTTTTATTTAATCCTTAAAGTAATAAGTCAACAGTACGTTTAATTTGTCTATTTCTGCTTTAGGTGGTGGGGTATTGGCTCCGCCATTTTTAGGATTGGGATCCGGACTGGCATCACCATATGGTGTGGGTGTTGGAGGGGTGGGACTGCCAGCTTTCGGTGCTCTCACATTGACTCCTGCCTCTCCAGCACTTCGAGCCCTCGCAGCTCCGCCGCTGCCTTTAGCTACAGTGCTTCTCGTCTCTAATCTCAACGAAGAGGTTAGTATACAAACAAATAATTCACACGTATTTGATAATTTTTCTGTAGTTTTTTTCTTGCATTTGCGTCAGTCAAATTTTTACCGGCAGGAGCCATAATACAATTTGATATTGAACGTTCGATCGATGTATTAGCACGTCAACTGAAAATATGAAGACTGACGCAACTCAAATAAATATGAATTCGCTTAAAACCTACTTCCTGTGTTGTGTGAAGTAGCATTATAAAAATATCAGCACCACGTCAAAATTAAACTTTAAAACAGTGTTAAGCAGTAAAGTTATTAGTATTCACTTTTATTGGACAAATTTATACATAACTCTAACATAATAGCCAGTAACGTCTTCTCCTGACACATTTAGTTTGAGTTTTACTTAGTGTCTCCATATTAAAACTGAAAATTATTATATAGCAATGGTATAAATAACGTGTTTTTTGAGACAGACACATTTAATCAGCTAAAAGCTAATTAGCTATTTACTATAATTATGTAAAAATATATTTATTATGTTAAAAATACATTTATGTTTAACATAATAGTAAATAAATAAGATAAAATAGGAAAGATGAGATTAAAAGTAGACGATCGGGTTATTTCGCTCAACAAAGTGTTCAGAGGAATTGTACGCGAGGACCAGCCATGGATCAGATAATTCATTTTAATTTCTAAGTATAGATCTAAAATTAATAGTATATTACGCACGATCGTTTGTGTACACTGCTGTCATCAGTTTTACACGATATAATTAAATGACAACGAACTTATTTACTGTTAACCATAGCTTGGACCGAAACTCCACATATCTACAATAATAGATGTGAAGACACTGGTTTTACCTCCAGATAACACAAAACTAATTGCTCCAAACTAATACGAACGTTACTGGCTGTTGCACTTATATATCTTACTCAAACTCTTTGAAAGTAAGTTGCTAATTTATTTATAGATATGATGTCAGATATCTTTTACGACTATTTATAATACTATCTCTTTCTCTCTCCTATTGTTTTAGATGGTCACGCCTGACGCTCTCTTTACCCTTTTTGGTACGTGTGCACATACATTCCGTATTTTATATTAAAACATTAATATTATTCCTGAGCCCTATCGTCTGGAAGACAAATTGTCAGCTAACATTTTCGACTTCTATATTGATAACCGCATCCGATGACTTTATGATCGAAGCTTTGCTTGTTTAACATTCTTCACACATTCTAAACGCTTTATTAACTTGTATGACAATTTGTGTTTCAGACATTCTAGTTTTAGCTAAGTCTCTGTCCAGTATCGTCTTTTATTTTTTGATTCCCAAACTGTGAAATGTTAATTACCTACCGTATTTTCCACTTTGACGTTGAACTTAAATGTAAAGAAATTATATTATAATAAATTATGTTTTAAGATCTTCAATGTAGTATAACTAGATTATTAACCCAGTCTATATGCTTTGGGTACCTACGTAGTAGTCAAGTACCTATACATAGTACTTAAGTAACGACAAAGTATCCAGGCTTTGTGAAAAAAAAAACCATACTAATAGGCAAATCCACACCGTAGAAAACGTTACATTTGTAGTTTTTTGTAGATACTTTGCTTTCAGCTGGCCCGGATCGAGGCCCCCTGCTGTTAACCTCTAAAGCATTAATCGGAAGCTTACACGTGACCAATTTAGAGCTTGGAATTTTTTCTTCTTATATTCATTTCCAGTCTATCCCATTTCACGACGTTATGTATATAGGTAAATGTTTGTATAAAAGATGCCGTTATTTGTTGATCTGAGACTATGCGTAATTCATAGACCTTACCTTAGTACTATACTTGCAAATATTTAACCTCAGTTGAACATTCCATAATAATTTTTATCGCAAATGTTTATTAAAAATTCATTATTAAGTATATTTATTAATTATCATTATGCAATGTGCAACCGAAGTTCGTTGTCTATTCTAAACAATAATATATGTAGGTAGTGTGTAAATCACCTTAGTTTTTGACACATATATTTTACATGTAGGTGTTTATGGCGATGTACAACGAGTGAAGATCCTCTACAACAAAAAAGATTCAGCTCTAATTCAAATGGCGGAGCCGCATCAAGCTCATCTGGGTACGTCTTATAATCGATTCTATTACATGTGTCATGTCATTGAGATATTATAATAGGTCTCTACCTCTGAAATTGCCGTTCTGCAGTACTTGGCCATTTCAAAATAATTTTTGTTTGGCTAGGTATTCTAATTTCAAATTAATTTCATTTTACAAACTTGGAATTCATTTTTCAAAATTAATATTTTGTTGACTGATTAGCGTTATGTTTTCATCGCATTTGAATCTTTTTCGTCATCTTGGATACGTTAAAAATTCGAGCAATCGTGGCACAAACCAATGTCACGCACCATCAACGACGTTCACGGAGCGAATACTACAATTCAAGCGAACGTACCACCTGTTATTGGTTTGCTCGCTTCTGTTCCGAAAATTTTGAACGCCAATGACAAATTAAGAGCAATAGTGGAAGCTGATGACACTCAATCTACAGCGCAATTAGCAGCAGCTTTCGACGTTAGCGTCAAAATAATATTGGTCCATTTGCGTCAAATTGGCAAGGTAAAAAAGCTTGACAAACATGAGTGCCCCACGAACTCAATGACCGCCAGCACGAAGTATGCATCGAGACGTGCCTTGCACGGCTCAACAGGGCACACACGAAGCAAATTTGAACTGCATTGTTACCTACTACGAAAAATGGACTCTGTTTGACACACAGAATACCATAATACATACATAATAGAACGGGGAAGTAGGCGGAATCCGTGTAGCCACCAACATGTCAATTCATACCTATAAATGTCAACGCATCTCTTTTGACGTTGCAATCGTTTCCAATTTTCGTGTCAAGCGTCGCTGCATGCAAATTATTTAAAAAAATGCCAATTTGTTCACTATTTACAAATAAATATGTATTAAAATGTAATCGATTTATTTCTTTAATGATGATCTTGAACATTAATCAAAAGTCAAAAATGGGTAAATTTACTGTCTGTCAACACAGCAAATCGGGTTTGTAGTAGTGATAATACGACGTAATTGCTTGTGCTCCCGACGACGCCGATCTTTGTACAAAATAAGTTTGACATCCATTCTATTGTGTATTATAGTATTCCATGGTTTGACAGTCACAAGTGCTCAGCATGTTGGTTTGATCCTGGTCCACCACCTAAACTATGCCCTAAACGAAAACTTGATGTGATGGTTTGGTGGTTTAGCGCCAGAGTGATTCATCACAGCTTCTTATCAAACGGGATTAGCATTATCGCAGATATGTACTGTGAACTGAACACAATTATGGAGAAGTTCGCACGTCTCAAACCAGCTTTGGTCAAACACGACACGGTCTGCATACAATGCACGACCGACATACTGCTCAACAGACGGTCTTCAAGTTAAAAGAGCTGGGGTTAGAAACTGTCTGGTTATCCACCGCACTCACCAGACCTTCTGCCTACAGAATTCTTCTTTTTCTAGAATTTGGATAAATTTTTGGCCAGACAAAAATTCAATACCAGGTTGGCAGTACAGAATACTCTTGAAGAATTTGTTGCTTCCCGTCCAGTTGATTTTTTCAAGAAGGCATCAATAATCTGCTACTGCTTTTGCAAAGATGCATCGATTGCATGGATGATTACTTTTTTTTAATAGAAATAAAAAATATAGAAAAAAATACGTTAACTTAAGTTTCATAGGTAAAGACCTAACAGTACAAATGCACTTTTATTTGTTTTGAATTACGAAAGGCATGTTTTCTTCTTATATCTATCCACATTCTATTTTGTGAGAAATATTTCGTAAATCTACCTAACACTTCTATGGCTATGCTGGTTAATTAGTGCAGAGCCTTCATAATGTACCATTATTTGTTGATCACCATAGTCTGGTTTATTAATTAGCAAGGCGTACTGCGTTTAAGTGGGATTAACCATAGGAACAAAACTACTACGTCGTCACTTTGCTAGGATAGTATTTTATATATATATATATATATACTACATATATATATATATATATATATATATATATATAAAGATGTACATTTAGATGGGCCCGTGGAGGGTTGGGATACACAATTGGACCCGGTAAATGGTGTTGTTGTCGAATTCCAGAAATCACCCGTGCGAAGCCGAGGCGGACCACAAGTATTTTATATATAAATGTTTTAACAATCCTATAAAGTTTGTGTATTTACAAGTTTTATTACTTCATTTCAACATGCAAACCTCTAAATATAACACTAAAATTATGTACAATTTACGTAGTTTAATGTCGTTAAGTTTGTATGTCGCGCTTGTAATGTATGAGTCTCGGGTTTAAATCGTCGCCATTAGCTCGCTACACAATAATTATATATGTCGCGAAGCTTTTCCCCCAGGCAACAACTTTGTTCCAAATATTTGCTGATTTTGTTTCATATCCTGTTAATATTAATAAATATCATAAGCCATGAAATGAAAATATAAAGTAGAACACAAAATCTTATATTCTTGGATAAATAAATGTCTTTAATATCATGGGATAATTTGTCTATATTTTAATATAATATGGGATATAACTTCACTTATATGAATATGAATTGAAATATTATTTTTCCATACAAAATCTAATTTTTGGGATTGTATCGGTTATTTTAATTTCACGACGTTTCGAGTGTTTTGCAACATCCATGGCCACAGGGGACTGTAAAATTCTATACATTTAATAATTATATATAAAATTTAATAATTTACTGTTCACATACCATATCAACATAAACGTCATAATGCTTCTGTTTCGTATGGATGGAAACTCATTTTACTGCTTACGATGCATTTCATGTTAGTCTTTGAGGGTGCTAATAATAATAATTCGAGGACAGGTGTCTATGGGCCACATTGTTCATTAACTGATTAATGGTACTTGGTTCACTGTCTGTTCACGTTTTTTTCCCTTACTTGTATAAAATAATAAGCTTTCAATATTTTAGCTAAATTTATTATGAACCAAATCGACATCATTATCATTATAAGAGCATATCAAAGCCTACTGGTGAACATCGGCCTCCCACGTAGATTGGTGAACATTGACCTCTATAGATTGATGCGGTTTGGCTGCCGCAGTTTTTTTTAGGTTGTTATCAAATAATTGCTGCTTCCCATAATATTAAACAGTTGCTGTTGCGCACGGGATGATATGGAGTAGTGGATACGTAACACCGCGTAGTTCAAATAATATATCTTTATTCTGTTAATAATATTAAAAAGAACTTATGTGTAAAATATAAAAATCTTTACTGTCTGTTCTCAACTATGCAGTTTTTTAATGATTTTTGCTCCCTTTGTATTTGTAACACATTATAGGATATCTCTTGACGTAGCAAGATCCAGAACAAGTCTTTGTAGATTATGATGATGTTAATGCTGTTAGCCTTTAGGCTTTTACAGCTTCATAGATCGCAGGGCCCGCGGCCTGAAAGGCTAAGAACGATGCTACGGACGGACTATGAACGTTTTCCTGCTTATTTTCTTAACCAACCCGTAAATAGCCCTCTGTCGAACATAGGCGTGAATGAGACGATCAGATATCGTCTCTCATAATAAGTTCGCCGTAATCATCACTCTTGGCAGGCGGGTTTGCAATCGTACCAGACGTTTCGCATCTTTTACGATGCTTTCCCTCACTGGCCTGGACATCTATCTATCATGGATGCTATAAAACTCCAAATGCTTATGCTGCCTGCTGATTACTATGGAAGCCATGAGGTCTTTCCGGCATTCTTTAAGTAACACCTACAAGACATGATCCTTACTCCAAAATGTATATGAAGGATATACCCAAATATTTTAATATCTAGTCCCAAAATATGGTTGATAATAACCCCTGGCTGTGCCCCTGGGAATAACGTGGTCGCTTCCAAGCTGTTTCTTAAATAACTTTTGTAAATGGTTTGTACGACCTGTATTCTATAGTATTGTATCATAAAAAATGACCTTCAATAAGACTTGTATTCTATAACGAATAAAAATTATACTTTTATTAACATAAAACTAAACAATATAAAATATAAGACGGTGATATTTTCGATCAACAGCTATGACCCATATGGATAAGCTGCGCGTGTTCGGGAAGGCGATGCGCGTGATGCTGAGCAAGCACCAGACCGTGCAGCTGCCCAAGGAAGGCCAGCCCGACGCTGGACTCACCAGGTACGTGAGCCCTATTGCAGTTTGTCGCAGGCAACAAGATCTTTTGGGCCTCGAAATGTTAATTTTCTCAGACACCGGTTTACTTACTGCTTTACCGGCGAGCATGTGATAAATTAGCACTTAAAATTTTAATTTAGTTAATTCATTATTGCCGATGGGAATCGGTCTCAATTTGCCCAAATACTACGAAATTCAAGATAATCTCTGGCAGCCTATCTCCTACAGCTTAGTAATACTATTGTGACAGCTGATAATTCTGTTAACCAACCTAACAGAAAGTGAAAATGCGTCTGTTATGAGTGGTACAACAATAATCGAAGTATTAGTTTCATAAATCCCATAAGCTACTAGGCTCAGTCATCATCGCCAGTCATCAGGCTTCTGTCGCTTTAATTACTGAAAATCATTTTTTTATATTTTAAATTAAAGAATATTATCTATTCCATGTCTGAGTTGATTTGATTTTTATCTTTTCATTTCCAGGGACTATTCCCAGAGCCCGCTGCATAGATTCAAGAAGCCGGGCAGCAAGAACTACCAGAACATTTACCCGCCGAGCGCGACCTTACATCTCTCCAACATTCCGTAAGTTACTGTTCAATTCGAAACGCCATTACATTTCAACGGTAAAATGAACCCATCTGACGTTTACGTATATCCACAGAGCGACCGTCTCGGAGGACGATATCAAGGAGGCGTTCACTAAACGAGGTTTTACGATCAAGGCGTTCAAGTTCTTCCCGTAAGTATTTTTTTTTAACTGGAAAAGACATTGATTTTGTAAGCGTTTTGTTACAATACTTTTTAAAGAATAAATACTAAGTTTCAGTGGGAATATAATTTATTTCTTTATTTGTAATTTTACTATCGTACTATAGTTTGAAAGTACTGTATGATAGAATCACTCGAAGACCAATGAAACACTGCACCTGTTGATTTTAATTTTTAATAAGTTAAAACACTAAAATATTTAATTTTAATTAAAAAACAAGGAGTGGGTGAAACCTTTATATACCTACTGTCAGCGATAGAGGTAAAAACTACATTACTTGCGTAATAAATTGCGTTTATAATATGAAGATGTGAAAATCTCACGTCATTCACTTATTGAAATACAGCAGCGTTATTTTTAATATAATTTAATATTTGGGATGCCAATGACATGATCTTCGATTAAACTCTTGTTTAAAAAAACTACATATATGCATTATTTTACGCTGGTATTCACTGGCTGGTGGAACTCCTGGCCTGCGTAGGAGTTAGTCTGGGTAATAATCGTCTTCCAAAATACCTGCCTATTGCTGATGCCAAGTAGTGGTAAGTGCTTGTGGTCGGTCTGCAGGGCACGGAGCCGATATAGTAACAGACTGTGGGGCATTTCGTCTCACTGCTCAGGGGAAACGCATCTGTAGCCTGCTTGTTCAAAGTTGGCTGCAGGTGTCCGCTGGCTATGAAGAACAGTAGCCACTTACCATCAAGTAGTCAGTAAATTCGTTTGACTCTTCAGTTTTATAAAAAAAGACATGTTTCTTCCAGCTTCAAACAGCCGCAACGTACTCGTAGCTCTACCACATAATCCATTATTAAATAAAAACACTTCATAGAATATCTATTAGTTTAATAATTTAATGCATATACTTCTTTTTGTAATTGCAGGAAGGACCGCAAAATGGCGCTCGTTCAATTGCCGTCGATCGACGACGCGGTGGCTGCGCTCATTAAAATGCACAACTACCAGTTATCTGAATCCAACCACCTCAGAGTGTCCTTCTCTAAATCAAGCATCTAAACGGGAGAATATCCCAACCATTACGGAATATCACACAACGGTTGATAGTCAACGTAGGCGATTATGGATGATTTATATTGAATGATATTTTGTTGTATACGAGCAATTTAATGTTAACTATAACACTATCAAGACAGAAAAACGCTAATAAAATACGTTATTCTTCGTATATGTTTGAATTTAGATGACGTTTGTAAATGGCGTTTCATGTATTCTTATTACATTATAATAATAATCAAATTACAGTAACCAAAATATAATCGAATAATCTTTATTATCACTCGTAATCGCCCACTAAATTGTCAGTCGCCTCTTTCTATCAGCGATTATTCGTCGCGATAATTTTAAAATTAGTTTGCTATTCAATTCTAAATGCATTAATTATTAAAAGGTCACTAGTGATGCGACTGTCGATTATACAGTACCTCTCTCACAAATCGAGAAAATGCTCGACTGAAGTTTTAAATATAATCTATATTACGCTTACTCGGATCAGTCTAGACGTTAAGTGCTACTCTATTTCCTTAGTGAACATTTACATATTACTGTAACTGTACATGATATTTAAGGGTCACCTCACATCACCACGCGATTCAGAAGCCATTGAATGTTTTTACAGTTTCACGCAGCTGTAGAGTGCTGAGAGGATTTCTATTTTGTGTGATATTCATTCCTTATATTTTTTTATTATTGAAATATTATTTTTATATCGACGCGTCGGATATTAATTTCAAATTTCCTTCAGTGAACATAGAAAACAGTTTGCAATTAGATTGCGCTAGTTGTTTCCATGCGGCACTTCGTGTGACCTGTCCTTCGTGCGATGTTAAACATTGCGTCGGTTGTTTTGTGGTTATTGTAATAACAGTATAATTTATCGTCTGAATATTTTATCATATTTATCACTATAGCATATTGTTAAAATATATTTACTTTGTCATATATAATTTGCAGTTATTACTACTATAAGATTATATTTTATAAACATATTTTATGCTCTATTTTAATATGCACAATTTACTATTATTATTGCATTTTTTCCCTAAGTGAATATGGTTTTTGTACGCATACACATTTTTCTTTAATTTTTAATACTGAAATGCTGTTTAGAAATGTGTATGTGTGTGCAATATTAGTTTTAGCAACATTTTATAGGTTATTTTAGAATTAAGATTGTCATCTCTTTTCTATGTGTACTGAATACTTGCGTGTCTATTACGTTTTCTTGCACACTCTGCTCTTTGTTTCAATTATAGTGTTTTCTTGGGTTAGTTAGCGTAATCACTACTTCTATTGCTAAGTCTAGTGAATACATCACTATATATAAATGTTATGTTTAGTGACATAATAGTGACATGATGCATTTATTTTGATGTTAATTTATATTAATGGTAGCTGCAACATACTATAAATGCTCGTGCATACATTTCACTAAGCAATTAATTATAGAGAAATATTTATTTTATTGGATCAGGGAGTGCCCTGAACTCGTACGGTGTGGCCAATTACGCGATAACGTATTTTTTAGAATAATTTTCATTATTATATTATGAAAGTCTGGCCACATTGTTGTTGTATACAATATTAGCGGCCTCTGATAAGTATTCCCGGGATATGTCCCTCGCTATGGCACAGTTCGTAGACAACATTTGCGCTCTGTCACGGTAACTTCATTAAGGAAACAGTATTTTATTTTTAAAGCTCTACAATTACACTTTGTACATAACTTCCAAACCGTGGTGAGTGCAATCTCCCATTCATGGTATTTTCCCTTTTTTAAACGATTGGTTTTCACACATCTTTGCCTTCTTATATTAATTGTAAAATGCGTCTAGTCCTATGCAAAAGAGATTAGTTTGTGGATTAAGTAATTTTTTTACGTTATGAAATGAATATGTAATAAATTGCTCCTAAATGAATTAAAACTCTGGTAAGCGAAGCTTTTAGTAGATGAATATTAATTATTTATTGTATCGATATTTGAACATATATTATGGTGCCCAGTGAAACCTAAGCTATTTAACTTAGGACCAGTTTTTAGGGTTCAGTTACACGTCCAGATTATGTGATTAGGCAAAGCATGCGTGAAACAGATACCTGAACTTTGACAAACTAAAGTAGCGATCTACTAAAATAAAGAGTCCACACTACTCGCGACTTTCGGGTTGAAATTATATTTCGACAGCAAGGTTGCGTAGAGTTAGCAAGAATTACATATCTTCGGTTACAAATGGTAGTTGTTCAAATATGTAGTGGATTGTTTATTCGTGTATTGTCATTATTAATTAATTAAACCGCGCTCAGGCGACTATTATATAACCTACCTTTAGCAACAGATTATTAAGTAATATAGATTAAAAATATATGACAATTACCGCCAAGCACTCATTTCCAAGGCCACAAAGTTGCAAAAAAATCCTATTATTTAGAAAATATCCCTTTTTAATGTCACAATTTTTTTTATTTCTTACTTTAATAAGTCATAACAGTCGGTAAAGTCACATATTTACACTATTATAGAACGTATCGTATACATCACGTACCGATAGATATAAAAATAGAGCTTAGTAAGATCGTTAAATAAAAAAAAATTAGATTGACATTACAATGTAAGTTTTATTAGATGAAATTCGATCATACAAACTGTATTATTCAAAACCTATCTACATTAAGAACGTGTAAGTAGTAATTTGGTTTAGATAATGTTAGGCGACCAGGGTGTGATGATATTTTGCACGTTTTTGAAAATGTTTTTCTATTAGGTACAGGCATCTGTACCTGAGTTTTGAAATGATACGAGACGCGGTATGCGGTTGGTGATGGTCTGGTGGACGAGTAGACTGTAGTGATCGCATTTGTAATTGATAAAATAATTATTATGTATTTATGGAACAGAATCACGAAAGAGATAACATATCCACTGTACTCAACGTAGAACGCTACACACATGTCAGCTTTCATTCTTGTCATTTCAATTGATAATGGAGGACGTGCGTCGTATGAAGTAACTTGCTTTATGCTCAAACTGGTAGTTTCATACAGTTGTGTGTAGCGTTTTGTGGCCTAACTTTTCTCAATAACATTTGTATTGACTTATAGATAATTCTAGGGATTTATGTGTTTAGAAAAGTATTTTTAAATATTTAGGTAATACGGTAATATAATTAAAAAAATAAATAAATAAATCTGTGTTTAGAATGAGATGCCAAATTTAAAGTCAATACACATTATTTTAGGTAAAACGTAATTGAAGTAATTTTAACGTTTATTGAAAAGTTGATGAGAATGTTACAGTTAAATTATATTTGAGAGTTTTATTGAGCGCAATATATGCAATTTAATTCATTGTAAGTGAACATTGTTTCCATTTGTTCGTTAAAGTTATGCGTTAAAAATGATGTCCAAGTTGTTTTCAAGTGTTTTCTTTGATTAATCAGCTCACATGTTCCCGGCGAACTACGGCCGCGGCCGCGGGGAGCCGTCGTAGGTACTAATTGCTAACTGCTTTGTTTAAATGTTCTGAACTTCGTGCATTTGCTCTTCGTGTGTCTCAAACATATCTCTGCATATCAATCACACAGATTATACTAAATATAATTTTATTGCGCTTTTTAATATTTATCTCCTATTGTATAAGCTGTATTTGATATTCAATACTACATAATGGAAAGGCCAACATATCAGTAACTAGAAATTTGGCTAAGGCGCATGAATTTCTATCTTCTAAACTTCTGAAGATTCCATCAAAATATCTATATTTCTTTCTATTTTTTTCATTAACTATTTCGTACATTTTCGTTATGTTCCAATTAATTTACAGTTTTGTCTTTATTTTCTTATTTTTAGCATTAAGTCTTTTGTGTGGTTATTTCTATTCTTATTTTTATTTCGTAATTAAACTATTATTATCATTGATCTTTTTGTTGTTCTTTATTTTCGTTTTCCTTCTGTGTCCTTTTTTTTTAGATATGATATTTATTAAGTTACACAAAATACTCAAAATTCTTCACCCACGCACTCACACAAACACAATTTATTCTACATATTCTACGCTCATAAATAATTAGCAAATGGTTTCATCACGCCGAGGAGGTAACTATTTGTAAATAAAACTTATAAATTTTAAAGGGGATCAATATAAAAAAATGTACGTTAGTACGCGATCGGTACTCTAGACATATTCGTACCTATTTAGATCTTAATCTAATCTATCCTGACAGTAATATTTTTTATCTGTATTTAAATTTATTATGTATCTATGAAATGTTTCAATCATCACAAAACTTTAATGTACCTTAATTATCACGTCATTTCTGAAGTCGGCTTGACTTAAGCGAGAATTTAGGTAAATTACAGGTTATTTAGTTAAATTATAAACGGGGTAAGGGACTTAAAATATTGCCAATGATATGTTATAAATATTATCAAGTGGAATATATTATCTCGCACAGGGTATAGTGTGAATAAATTTAATCGCTGCCCTGACAACTTGGAAACTCAGGGCGGTAACTTATGTCCGTGCCACGTCCCTTATTCCTGATTCGTTGAAAGAACTGAACCATTCCATATTTAAAACGTTGAATTAGTAAAAAAATGTATAACTGCCAAATAATAGGGCTAAATTCTGATGCAAAATCAATATGCAAAACGACGGCTAACTAGTCGCCCACTATTGTAACTAAAATAAATGCATAATACACACACACACACACACACACACACACACACACACATATATATATATATATATATATATATATATATATATATATATATATATATATATATATATATTTCTAAATTATAAATGTTTTCAAGAAATACCTATTAAAATGGCAGTTATTCTCATATTGAATTAATCTACGGATGTAAATATTATACACTATAAATAATTACAAATTAATTAACATAATCATTAATTTAAGATTTAGATAAAATACCCTATTCTGATTTCAGTAGTCGCTCTAGTAAATAACTTGCAACCATTTTGAAAATCATAA